CTCTCTCTCTCTCTGACCGTCTATAGATACACAAGCAAACTCTCCTCTTTTCTCTCTCGATACAATTTTTCCTGTTTCAACAAGATAAAAAAAATCTCTCTGGTTTCAAACAATTAATTTCCTCTAGAGAAATAATCAACTCAAAAATTATAGCAATTTAAAAGAAATGTCAGGTGGGGTTGGTCCACCCAGAGATACAGGTGTAGCCAAAGAAGAAGAGCATGAACCGGCCGTAATCACAGCGGTAAAAGCACCAACTGGCGGCCGTTTCTTCACTTTCCGGCAGCTAAATGCCCTCGCCGTAATCATCGTCGTCTCCGCGAGCGGCTTGGTAAGCATTGAAGACTTGGCTTTCGTCATCTTCTCCATAATTTACATGTACTTCATATCAAAATTTGCATTTCCGCCGCCACCTCCTTCCAGTAAGGAGCCTCCTGTTTTCTCCGAAAAGAACAAGTTCCTAAGCCTTTACGTGTTCGTCGGAGTTCTAATCGGATTATTTTTTCCGATAGCATATATTTTTGAAGGCATCTTTGAGGGTGACAAGGTGGGTGTTGAGGCTGCTGCTCCACATGTTTTCCTATTAGCCAGTCAAGTTTTCATGGAGGGGCTGGCCTCTGCCGGTGGTTTTTCATTGCCTATTCGGGTTTTGGTGCCGATTTTCTACAATTCTAGGAGGATTTTCAACGTCGTGGAGTGGGTAGGAGTTGAAATCTCCAAGGTGGAGGCCGGCGGCAGTTCAAGGAGGAGGGTGCAAATTGGAAGGGGACTTGCGGTGGCTAACTTGGTTTATTGGTGTTTCAATCTGTTTGGATTTTTGCTGCCTGTTTTTCTCCCAAAGGCCTTGAAAATATATTACACTTACCGCAAGATTAAGGACTAGAGTTTTGATGTATATTAGTTAGTATTGGTGTTTGTAAACTGTCTTTTTCATAAGATAATTGCTGCTGTTTGTAATGGTAAGAGCATATTTGAGGTACTCTTTAAAAATAAAAACTACAAAAGCATTAGAGTAAAAGTACTTCAATAGTCTTTTTTTTTTCTTTGGCACTTATTTTATTATTTTCAATACATATTTATTATTTTTTTATCTTTTATTTTCACCATTTTCCTTTTAAATTATTATATTATTTTTCACTTTTTTTTATAATATTTAATTAGATCAGTATATAGAGGACTGAAAATTGAAATATCTATGTTTGAGCCACATTTTTTCAAAAAAAATATATCGTTAAACAGCGATTTAACATTATTTCAACCACTCATTCTTCAATATTATAAAAAAATATATCGTTAAACAGCAATTTGACATTATTTTAACCACTCATTCTTCAATAAAATAATATTATACGTAAATCTAAAAATTTTCTTTATTTTTTAACTACACATTTTTTATCAATACACTATCCAAAATGCATTTGAAGGAAAATAATATAGCTCAAACAAAGGGTATTTAATTATAAAAAATGAATTTGGTTCTCCCACAATGTGGAGAGAGATAAACCCACTCTTTATTTTTAAATATTAATTTAAAGAACTTCTTGAAACATAATTTTAAAAATTTACTCTTTAAAATATAGAGTTATTCATTTTTAAAGAGCGATGATCTAAATCTAAATTGGTTTTCTCTATTTTTGGGTGTCAGTTGAACCTCTTGAAGCACAATTTTTTTAGAGCATGTTAAGAAATGTTTTCTTCTAAGTTTATAAGTAAACATCTTTTTACTATAAAGTCGCATGGTTTTCGACTTTGCAAGGAAAAACAGATGTCAAGCATTATGTTGGACAGTAAATGACAATTTTTTTTTTAACCCAAAGCTATATTTTAATACGAACTTCATCGTGTGTTTCTCGAGAGACAATTCTGGACAAGTTGTTCTTCCTCTAATATTGTTCAGTCGAGTGCGACGACTCTGCCTAGCATCGCCTTCTGTCTACATGCCTGGTTCCACAAAATTTTGAGTAATTCCCGAGTAATCAGTACTGAATTGACGTTACAGAAAGCAAGAAAAATTGTTTCATTAGCACAGATGTAAATATCAGTCCATTCTCTGTACAGCAGTTGCAGACTGGAAGAAAAATAGCTCTACCTGCTTATTGTCCAGCCTTGCTCTGCTCTTCTCCTCTCTTCTGTGCAATAAAATTGATATACATTCCCCAGACCAAAGATTCAGTGCAGGATCAGCTATACAC